TGGACAACCCAAAATATTTGGCTAAATACAGATATTGGGTAAATAAAGTATATGTATACATATACATCTATATATATCTATATAGATCTATATATATCTGTATATAGATTTCGGAAATATAGATATATATACACACACACACAGTGGATATATATATATATATGTGAAAGTAAACACTTCAAAATAAAATTAACTCTTTTATCTGTTCTTGTTGCAGGTCTGGTCAAGCATCTGGAAAATAAGCAGCCAAATGCTCTGAGAATAACCAGTATATCTTGTACAACTAACAATGGCATGAACATACCAGCAATGATCATTACATATATAGTGGGGGAGATGTATTAAGAAAGGCATAGACAGAATCAGGCACTTGTCTGGAGTAATGTGTCTGTGTCCTGTTTATAAAGGAATTTGCAGTAGTTTGAATTGCCTGAAACCTCTGCTTCTGTAATTCTGAATAGTTGTGATAGTTTTGCACACATTTATGCGAGCCACATCAATATGCCTGCTACAATTTTCAGCTGACATGAACATGTAGGGACTAGTGAGGGAATACATTTCATGTAGGTGCAGTGCTAGTTCTGACCAATAGAGAGGGATATTTCTGAATCAAACTAGTCTCTTAGTAAATCATATCACGCTGCTCTACTTCTTCACTGCCTCTTTGCTTGGATAAATTCCCCCCAGTATGTAATGCATTACTGAAAACTCTAACAAGAAATACCCTGTAATCAACACATCATAATAAAAGCACCCAGCATATTAAAAGGCAATTTAATATGTATGTGCATTTTTATAATTGGCAACAAATGTATATGTTTCCTAAGCAAAAGTGAACATGTAGAAAAAGGGAATCTTATTTTTTTATTATTTATTCAGGTAGTAATTTATTTAAAAGAACAGCCAACAAGGAAACTTTTTTTTTTCAGCAAAATGTTATAGAATATATTTCAAGCTATTACAATCTATGATTATGAATCAGTATAGTATACCATTCTGTTTTTAATATACCAAACTCTATGCTACGGCATGTTGGCCCATACAAGTACAAGGGCATATAGCATTGCCTTCTATAGGAGATACTATGTAGATGGTGTATGTGTATGTAAATTCAGATCATAGTATGACAAGTGAACAAACATTAGTCTGGACTAACTGGTACATATGCAGGAGTGCCAATAAAACTAGTGAAAGCCAAATGTTGCTCCAAAGTATATGGACACAGCTATCAAAATAAGGGTCATATACCATTGTCACTTCCTCTGTATAGCTCCCTATACTTGTATACCCCCATATACTTGACTGAGGTCCTTTTTGTTGAACTGCCAAACACAAAAGTTATATTATATAATACCCAGTTAAGCTGGCCAGATTGGTAAAAAAGTGATTGGACTATGACAGATGACCCAAACACTGTAGGATATAATGGTGCATGGTAAATCCACCTAATGCATCTGTTATCTAGAGGGAATAATGGTCTATTGATAATACTAATCACATACCTCACAACAATCTGAGATGGCAAAGAAGGACAACTTTAATCGTTTAGTAAGAAAGTATGTAGCCAAGGGATACACCCTATGATACGAGCCCAGTTGCATGGAGGATGAAGTTTGAATGCACAAAAAAATAACTGGTTAAACCCACACATATGATTCCAACATACCAATATCCATTAATTTAGAGGTTGTAAACAAGATTTTGGTAGTTACATTTTTTTATAGAGTTCTCCACCTCAGACCAGAAAGAGGGACATTTGAGAAGTAACGAGTGACATAAGTATTTAGTTCCAATATAGGGACTGTCGCTTTGAATAAGTGACAATTAGGAGGTATGTAATCAAACCTCACTGACGGTCTTTGATGCTTGAGAATCATCAGCCAGTCTGCTGAGGTCAGAACATTCCCATATAGACAATCTCAGTTATCACCTAGTCCTGATGAAACTGGCAAGGTTGTATGATGATCCTTTAATAACAAACTCCTTTGTCTAGTTCTGCTGACCATATGTTTTCCAATGTAAATAAAAATGTTAGCTAATAATTAGGTCATATAATAGAACTGAAACCTGTTAGGACATGCTTTTGTAGAAATCCTAATCTGGCTACAGAATTCAATGTCATATGGGATATGCAGTTTAGCAGATCTGCAGAAGTGGTAGCAACATGAACATTAATCTAGGTCTTGTGGCAGCTTTTATTATACAGAAGTAAAGTTTAAAGATCTAATATCAAGCTTTTTACAGGAAAAAGAAACACAAATCAAGACTCACAATATTACAATTGGTGATGTGAATTGTTTTGACAAGATATCACCTTTGAATAGCCATTTATGACTCAGCTCAGGGAAAGTCCAACTGAGAGACAACTAGTTGTATTAATACTCCCTGCTACAGAATGTAATCACTAAGGCTTCATATACCCTGTGTAACAATTGTACTAAATCATCATTACATAGTCAGAAGCATGTACACAGGTTTTATTCTTATTAGCTTTGGAACACTGACAAAATGTATGCTGAAATAGTACGATCATAAGTTGTACGTTTACTATATAACACTGAGACTCAGGGGGCTTTTTAGCTCAATACCAAAATAATGCATCATAAGTGTATTTTTTTTATTTTTGTAATAATAATAAGGGTGGTAGGAAGTCTCTGCATCCAATTTCCAAAGTGTTGAAGGTAGATCATTAGCCATGCATATGGCTTTGCTGTATGTGCTGCATGATTGGCATTTATATAATTGATTAATGATGATTATTGTTTACTGTGGAAATAATGTAAAATAAAGATGAGGTTTACTTTGCTACACCTACTGGTTCTAATTTGTCCTGATGTATCAGATGCATTAGTTTCCATCAAAATCATCATAACTAGGCATGTAAGATTCTTTTAGTTGCAAATTGAAATTCGGATGAATATCGCCATATTCGGATGTTCAAATGCATCTGGATTTCCAAATGGAAAAGATAACAAATTCAAACAAATACGAATTAGGTGGTAACGAAAATTTGGATTTCGGAAATGAACTGAGAAGTGTTAGACATCCCCCCCCAAAAAAAAATGCTTGACAATTGTGCGCCCCCCTCCTGCACCATACCAGGCCACATGCCCTAAACATGAGGAGGGTGCTTTGCTGGAGGGGACCCCCATTGTCCCCATGTTGATAAGGACAAGAGCCTCTTCCCCACAACCCTGGCCCAGTGGTTTTGAAGGTCTGTGGGCAGGGAGGCTTATCTGAATCTGGAAGCCCCCTTTATAAAGGGGGCACCCAGATGCCCCCCTTAGTAAATGAGTAAGGAGTAGTTGTTACCCCTACTCATTTGTCAAATAAACAGTAAAATAGTAAATAAACACACCACACTGGTTTGTTAAGTCCTTTATTAGTACATAAACACAGCACACAGCTTTTGACAAGTCCCTTATTAAAAAAAAAGTCACACAATGTAAATCCATTGTCAATCACGTCATCCAGCGATGTAGACACTCATCAATCATGATGCCTGCTTCTCGCCAACTCGAACTCAAGGCCAACTTCAGTACAGACCCCATAAAAATCCAGACTGATGGGACAAAAGTAACAGCTCCATGTTTTCTCCAGGTTTCCTAAATCAGACACTGTGTGCCTCTAAAATTTCCTGCCCTCAAGAATTTGAGAAATAGAAACATATTTATAAAGCAGTGAATACGACATTCATCAAACAGATACTGCAAGTGAATCAATCACTGCAATTTAACCCCTTCATGACTGAGGCCCTTTTTTTCAATTTTTGTACCCATGTTATATTCCACATTTCCACTGAAAATGACGTAAAACCCCCCAACATTATATATTTTCTGAATGCCAAGATGCACCAGGGAGATACACGTGCAGTGAATGTCACATTCACTGCTTTAGGCCTCATTCACACTGCCACGCGCGTACGTGCGTGCGTGCGTATTGTACCATATGCAACACATGCAAATAAATGGCTCCATAGACATAGCCGCGTATGGAGCCGCATATTTGCGTAGCGTATATATGCGCAAAAACAGAATGAAACAGAGATGCGTCCGGCCAACGTATTGCTGCGTATTTACACGCACATTAAAAATTCCATTACGAGTGATGCATTCTGGGATTGCATATAGTGCACGCATATGCGTATGTATACGCACGTACATACGCGCATATACTCAATATACAATTTTGCTCTTGCGTTGTGTGTGAATGAGGCCTTACAAATATACTTTGCCAATTTAGTAAGCATCAGTGGACAACTTTACACCTCTGTAGACATCCTTGACCAATAGATCTCAATGAGTCCAGGTGTAGGCAACCCCGGCACTCTAGCCGTTGTGAAAGTTCAAGTCCTGTGAGGCTTCCCAAGAAACTGACAGTCACAAACACGACTCTTAGAGGCAGAGGCATGATTGAATTTGTAGTTTCACCACAGCTTAAGTGCTGAGGCCGCCTACCCCTGGAATAGTCTATCAAGTAGGTTATTTTAAAAGGTTCGGAACTAAAGCAAATGTATTGTAGTGATCACACCTGAAGGAGGATACACAGCACACGTATGTCACAGTCCTGGTACCCACAAAATATTCTTTAGTGCCCCAGGTGTCTGGCCTTAGCAATGGCTATGGGAAGCACGCAGTGCAGGTCCAGCTATGGACAGGGCCGGATTAAGAGCATCACGGGCCTGGTGCTGAGGATTTCGGTGGGCCTTTTTATAGAAATGGCGTTGGTCACTGGGGCCCTCTTCCTCCTGTCCGGGCTGTAATTTGTAGTCTCTCTACAGCTTGGAGTCAGTGGTGGAGCGCCAGGACTCGGTTGCAGCTTTGACTCTGGTCTGGATTCAGAACATAATCACTGTGTGCTGCTCAACGTAAAACAATGCGCTGCTCATTTCAGTAGCATTTAGATACAGCTAGTCTTCTTCCATTCTGCACGATGTAATTCATATTTTACCAGTAGATGGCGCCAGTGGCAGATTTTTCCCCCAAACTAGATATGTTCTCTACAAGCTCCCGTCGTGACGTCATGAGGTGTACAGCATGGCGGCTTCCACTGCTGTAAACACGTGTACTAGTCGGTAAAACTTCGGTCTGCAGTCATCGATATACAGTATAAAGTGTCACTCGGTTCATCACTGTGAGAGGTGCCTTCATCGCCGCCATGTCTGGGAGAAATAACAACAAGCTGCCCACCAATCTTCCTCAGCTACAGAATCTGATCAAGAGGGATCCAGCTTCTTACATCG